CGGATCATCTCAGTGAAGATCCTCTCGCTGTCCTCCACTGCTGACTGTGCTGAGCTCTGTTTGTGACACAGGGAGCAGAGGACGGTAAATTACAATTGGCCCCTTTTGAGACTCCAGAGAGCCTCATTGTACAATAGAGATGTGAGCTGACAGGAGGTATAAAAACAGCACAGGGCTGGGGTTTGGACCGTCACGATGCTGGATGCCTCAGGTACTGAAATCCAGCCATTACAGGACGTAAGTTGCCCATCTTAGAAGAGCCTTGATTCAAGCCTGAATTGGTTCCTACAAGCCAGCTGTTATCTCCTCTTCAGGTTCATACTCACTGTGATTGAGTCCACAGCCTCATTCAGCTCCTGCAGCTCCTTCTCTCTCATCTGAATTCTCTGCTGAAATTCCCTCTTTGTTTCACCCATTTGTTTCTACTTATGGGGAAAAAAACAATAAAAATTAGTCTGTTTCATTATCTGAGATCATATCATTTAATCCCCCTGTCCAGGATTGACCCCAGCTTTGTGCCCAGTGCTGCCTGGGAAAGGCTCCAGGCACTCCCTGTGACCCTGACCCAGATAAGTGGGTAGGAGATTGATGGATGGATGTATATTTGATTTATTGACTGTAGGTAGTGTAGGTTCTTGTGTTTCTTAATGAAGCTTAGCTTGACGCTCGAAAGATTCTCCCGTCCCGATCCACTGCATAAAAACTCCAAGAAACTGCTTCGCACTATTAACTGTTTACTTAGAGCCTTTTACCAATATCACAAACATAAGATTTTATCCACAAAATAAAATAAAATAAATAAATACATTTATATCCAAATTCAAGAGCAATCTTTTCAGGAGGTCAAAAAACTATTTCGCTCCAATCTAACCTCTTCCCCTAACCACGTGACCCCGCCCTCCTTATCATATGAAAAGCATTTAGGCTCCTACAGGTAGGATAAACTGGACATAAACACTTTGACTCATATTCCCAGTGAGGGATGTGAAAAGAGTTCTCACAGTCAACCTGAAGTTCACATACTGTATATAATACATACGCTTAGGTCAGGTCAGGTCAGGCTGGGGGAGCAGGCGCTAATGCAGCACGTTGCTACACCCACCACACAGCGAAACTCCTCCGGATCGACCCCCCAGGCAGACACACGGTCCAGTCCCACCCTCCAGAAATGGACATCCATCTGCCACAGCCAGGTGTTACGTGGGCATCCCCTTGGCCTGTTCCAGCTGCTTGGGTCCTCAGCAATGAGGATCCTGCGAGCCGGATCACCCTCAGGGAAACGCGCCACATGGCCGTAGTGCCGTAACCGATGCTCCCTCACAATGCAGGTAATATGCCTTGTAAGGGCACAGGCCTTGCAGGCCCCACCGGTCTGACCTATGATAAACCTGCAATGTTTCACCAAGTGTCCTAAGGCAAAGCTCCACCGGCTCCGACAAGACTGCAGGGACACCTCACCCCCACTGGGCGGCCAGAACCTCGCAGCCAAATTCTAGCGACAAGGCCTGGCTGCGTCAAGACACAGATACATCCTACACGCACTAACTCACACCAGAATTACCTCAGACTAACATTAGGGATACATACTCCCATGTTTGGTCTTGTTTGAATGGTCACAGTACGACGGGCACAATACTCTCAACCTTAATGCAGTATGTTCTCACATAATTTTTATTTGGTACATTCTGTCACTTGGTGTGGAATACTTAAGGAAGAGCTCCAGAATAGCACGGGGAGACACTCTGTAATCAAAGCTGTAATCAGATATTTTCTGCAGTTACTCTTTGTCCACTCAGCTGGGGTATGGAATTGTTTTGACTTGATGGTATAGTTTTGGAATTTGTGGCCACATGTTAGAATTACATTAATGTTATATTTGGTTAAATTGATCTGTGAATAAACTGTGTTTTGATTACTTCTCGGCTGTCTGACTTTGCTAACCACTGCATGTTTCCAGTAGATTTGGGTTATTTCCCCAGTCAGAGTCAAACTGCCATTTGGCTCGGATATATTAGCTTCATCACATCTAACACTCTCTTGCAGCCTCTGACTTGACTCCGTTTCTCCAGGACCCGATGCAACTGCCCAAGCTGAGTTACAGCAAAAGACTGGCTCAGCCTCTGAGGCGCACATACGCTGAGTTACGGCAAAGTCCGGCTCAGTCTCCGAGACGCGCACATGCTCAGATACAGCAAGTGTCAGCTGAGCCTCTGAGGAGTTCTATGTCGCCAGGCCTGGACAGTCGCCTAGGCTGACACTGTATTAAATTGTAATGATTTCCCAACTTCTGAACCGAATCCTACGGATCGCCCTGTCGGCCGAAGCGAATCCGGTGTACTCCACTTAATGGAAGTTCAGCAATAGAAGGCAAAGCATAGGAATAACAGAAATGTCATGACTAAAACATCATAAAAAGCCTTTAATTAAATTGGAGTCAGATATAATTCGGTTTTACCTAAAAGGGTAAGTAACTTTACAGGATCGCTCGGAAGGACCTACACGCATTCCAAGCCTTCGGCTGTCCAACTGGATTCCGCCATTGGGCCAGTGGACGGTTCTCTGCAGCCTCATTTGGGACTCCTCTAGCAACCGCTCGTTCGACACAAAGTCAAACCAGCGGTACCCAAGGATTCTCCGAAGAGACACAGTACCAAAGTCCAGTTTTCGTCTCAGCTCACTGGATAGCGTCCATGTCTCACAGCCATACAGCAAGTCAGGGAGCACCAGGCCTCTAAAGATTTGGACCTTCATCATCTTGCAAAGATAACAGGAGCCACACACCCCTCTCCAGCGACCTCATGACCCCCCCATGCTCTCCCAATCCATCAACTAACTGAATAGGAAGAGTCACCAGAGACATGAATGTCACTGAATCTCTCGACAAGGTCGACAATCTCACCACAGACACACACACTACTGACTGAAACTAAATTACATTTTAGTCAAAAGACTATGACTAAAACTAAATAAAAATTTGCTGATAAAATTAACACTGCTGTGAACACGCGCTCCCTCTGTCTCCTTCTATCTCTCTTTGTAGGTAGACAGAGTAAAATGCACACATTCCTATTAGCCTATACATGGCTTTAAAATGTTTAAATTCCACAATGACCTACTGATTTAACAAAGGGTAAATGATTCAAACACGGGTGTTGTCACGTTTGCAAGCTGGCGAGCGGAGAAGCAGGCGAGCGGAGCCGCAAAGACGGACAAACGGGGTTTATTTGTACGGAGACAGAGGCACACGGCAAGGAACATAACAACACTACCATGGGGGATAACGATTGAGACACGGACTCCCTGGAAGAGCTCGCCGACTCCCGCTGCCTCTCCAGCTCCAGGTCCATTCTCAAAGACTCTGTCCACCCAGCCCACCACCTGTTCAACCCGCTTCCCTCCGGCAGGCGGTTCAGGTCGATAAACGCCCGCACTACAAGACTTTCCAACAGCTTTTTTCCCTGGGCCATACGTTCACTTACAGTAACAAAAGCAATATCTCTCTGCAGGCATTGGCCACCCCCCCCCCCCCCCCCCCCCCCCCCCCCCCCCCCCGTCTGCAATGATTAACTATGTCTCTGGAAATTGTATTTGATCACTTTATCCTCATCATCTTCACACTTTATCACCAGGCACTTTATAGTCTGATGCTGCTATGTTTGCTACGATGTTACACCTTTGTGCAGGGGAGTGTCTTGTTTTTGCTGGAAGGTTGGGACTAATGTTTTGGGTGAGAGGAGTGGTGAATAGGCTTGGGGCGAGGTAATGAGGTGGGCGTGGCACACACGAGGATCGGACGGAGCTGGACGTGACAGGTGCCACTTTCTAAAACATTTTATTCAAAAACATGTATACTTGCTGCATTTGTGACTTTGCACATTCTGTTTGTATTCCGCCGTTACTGGTTTTGGGTGCTGAACAAGTTGGAACGGAGCTGCCTTAAACTGTGTCAGATGCAGTTATGGTCACACGGACGAAAACAGTATTTCAATACAGAAAAAAGCAACCCGGAAAAAAACAAAGACCTGACAAAGCTATATTTTAAACATCAAGCAGACGTAAATTCTGCTTGCTGTACATTCTAGTAGACGTAGACTACTAGAATTAGACATAAAGTAGACGTAAATTCTATATAGGCTTAATCTATACCAAACCTATGTTGGATGCAACTGGCAACAGAATTTTCTCATATCTATGAAAGGCTAATGGTGTTACTGCAATAAAGAAAACAACTTAATACAGGTTTGATCTAAGGTTAATTAATAATTGAAGGAGTTTTCAGTTGCAATTCGATCAGAACATTTTACATTTTATAATAACATCTTGACACAGGTTTTCCCCATTGAGAAAACAGCTACTGATAAAAGACATTTTCAGTGACTCATTTTCTGTGCATTTTCTTTCCATGTAACAAACTAGGCTTGATCACAATCTCTCTCTATTTAATGCAAACTTATTCACGTGACAAAAAAAAACATTTTTATTTTATATAAAATTCATAATTTATATAAGACCATTTCTGGCCTGACCTGTTTCTCCGCCCATCCTGCAGCGGCTGAGACTGTATCATGGCCTCTGTGTTCATCCATCGTACAGAGATAACAGATACACTGCTGGTCGGTGCGGCAGTAGATCTCCAGGGGTTTGTCATGGTGGGAACAGACCTTGTCCTTTAGATGACTGATGGCATCAATGAGCTTGTGCTGCTTTGCATGGTGGAGTTTATTGTGAAGCTGCACGTCAGTTTCACAGTAGGAAGCCAGACACACCAGGCAGGACTTGACAGCTTTGCGTTTTCTCCCAGTACAGATGTTACACTCCACATCTCCGGGTCCAGCATACTGGTCAGCAGGAGTAGCTGCTTGTTGTCCAGTCTTGTTCAGTTTCTCCATCATTTCAGCCAGTATGGTGTTTCTGCCCAGAACAGGTCTGGGTACGAAGGTCTTTCTGCACTGGGGGCAGCTGTAAACTCCAGCAAGATCCTCCTGATCCCAGCAGCTCTTGATGCAGCTCATACAGTAACTGTGTCCACATGGAATAGTAACTGGATCCTTTAGTGGATCCAGACAGATTGCACAGCTGAACTCATTTACATCCACTGCAACTCTGGCTTCTGCCATTTTACCACGAACACTGATAGGATTTAGCTTCGTTTTCTCTCAGCTGTTTGTGTGTGAGAGTGGGAGGAACTTCCTGCTTCTCCTGCTGCAGTAGGTGTGGTTTTGGACTGAGGCCAGACTGAGAAGAGCAGACTGGGCAAACACTGGAGCTGGAGTTTATGAACTACCAGAACGTCATGGCTGCGAGGAAGACCATCCATCCTCTTCAACAGGCACTCTGTTTGTTCACAACTGACATGAGAAGGACGCCACTGAGAGTAAACTCATGAAAAGCAGGAGGACCAGACAGCATACCTGGCCATGTGCTCATGGAGCGTACAACCCAGCTGGATGATGTCTTCACAAACATCTTTAACATTTCTCTGAGGCAAGCTGTTGTCCCCACATGCTTAAACGTCACCACCATCACACTTAAGGTGAATACTAGGGGTGTAACAATACATCGATTTGTATTGATATATTCAACGGCAAACGATCCAATGCATCAATGTGACCGCATAAATATCGATACATGCGTTTTTATTTTCTTGCCTGTTTTAGTATTGTTCTCATGATCCACTCCAACATACACATGGTCTACACCAGGGGTGCTGTAACAGTCGCAATTGTGTGGTGTCTCTTTAAGACAGAGTGAGTCAATGTTTTGGTGATGTCAGTACGTATACGCCACCACGCTCTGTAGAGCGCGGAGGAAGCGTGCTTACGGATAACCACATGGACGGAGAGGGACTTTATGTTCTTATCTCCCTAAGTCAAAGTAACGTCACGGGTTGTATGAATACTGTTCGCTTCATGTGTGACAAACCAGCAGCTGTTCAACCGGGCTTTGTAAGGTTGGTGAAGAGTGTGCGTAATTAAAATACAATCGCTGTGGAAATCCCAGTACCAGCGTACCATGAGTTTTTGGCTGTCCCTGCTAAGTGTACCGCCGCCTCTTCTCCTCCACAAAATACAACCCCACGTTACAGTGCCCAATACCTCGATCGCGATATACTGGTGATTGCAAAGGTAGATAAGGATGACGTGTTCAACCGCGCCAGCTACTGCAAATCTCTAGCAAGCTGCTAGGGGTGCGACGGTACAAGTATCCCACGGTATGGTACGTACCTCGGTATTTGGGCCACGGTTTCGGTTCAGTTTAAACACAACACTACAAATAATAACACAACAAACCAAATAATAAACTACCTCTTATTTATGTATAAAATATGTATACATGTATAAAATTCAAATTTACAAAATGTAAACAAAAACATTTTAAAAATGTTAAAGTGCCTCTTAAAGTGCTCTAAACACTCTATATTCCACTCCAGGCTCTGTGCTTGAGCCAAATCATTTTCGATAGCTTTATGTGCTTTGTCATAGAGGTCGGGAATTATAACGTCACTGAAATGTGTACGGCAGGGCACAACATAACGTGGGTCGAACGTTTTAATTAAGTGGCGAAACCCCGCATCTTCGACAACAGAAAAGGGTTGCAAATCTTTAGCAATGAATGTTCCCACTGCACAGGTTATTTTCTTATGTTTATCGGATGTGGCAGGATATGTCTGTTAATTGAAAAGTTTTTTCGATAGACACTTGCTCGTGTTTCGATTAGCGTATGGGACACGTGTTAGGCAATGTTTACAAACAGTGGCATTTCTATTAACTGTTTTGACTCCCTGGTAGTTGTATTATACAGCGAACCCGAAAAAAATCCATACTGGAGATTTGTACAAAGCCCGTGCTTCTTCAAACTAATGCCTCTCAACTGTTCCGCTAGTGCTGGCCATGCTTGTTTGTTTTTCTTTTTTTCGCATCTGTGTACCGAGCTCAGCTCCAGTTACGTCAGTGTGAAAGAGGGCGAGTGGGTGGAGCCAAAACAGTGATTGGACATTAATGTTCACTTTCCGTCGGACGCCTCTTTTGTGACGTTGTGGTCGGACTGGCGGCTTACACACTCAACAGTAATTCTATTTTATAAATCTTAAAAATGTTTATTTTGTTAAATGTATTAATAGTTATAAATATAATTGCATATGTGTTCGATTTAGAGAATACCATATCAAGACCGTAAACAGTATCCTAGCATGCAATATCAGATTTTTACCAGACTTGTTAGTGTCTTTGGCTTGTAGTTTGCCTCTCGAAAAAAGAATATTGCTATGAATGTACTAAAATGTTTTACAAAGCTTTTAATGTGGTTTGACTATTTCGTGTTTCTTGTTTGTCTCTCAGAAAAAAAATCTCACTCCAAATCTGCTAAAATATAAAGCAACAAAAAACATGGAGGCTGCCATGTTTGTTCCGAGATGTGGGTAGCTCGAACGGGAGATTGTCGGACGTGATGTCACTTAACTCGGAATTTCCGAGTTCCGAGAGAAAAACGAACAGACCATAACTCATGGTTGAGGGCTTTTGCTCATTGGCGCTTACCGCTTAACAGTAGCCTGATACGCATTAAGCGCCATATTTTCAAATGGAAGTGCAAAACCGTAATACCGCGGTACACAAGGCCTTACCAGACCGTGCGGCGCATACCGAACGGTCCAGTATTTTACCGAGTACCATTACATCCCTACAAGCTACCAAGTCGCTCTTACGATCCTGTGACGGGTGTGGGAAAGCAGGATCAGGGAAACGGAAATCCAAAGGACGGGGTTTATTCAGGGCGGACAGGTAACCACGCAGTACAAACATTATTGACAGACCTGGGGAAACGCGGTCTGAACGCGGACTAATGGTGCGTTCGTTTTTCTCTCGGAACTCGGAAATTCCGAGTTGAGTGACATCACGTCCGACAATCT